GTTTTCAGCCTTCTGACTCGGACCTAGTCAGTATTTGACTCGGACCGAGTCAGTTCCACGCGGGTCGAAGTCAGTCCCATGTTTTGGGCTTGGCTGATGTTTTGACTCGGTCGAGTCAAAGTTTTGACTCGGACCGAGTCAATACTAAATGGGCCGAGTCAAGAGTTGACAATGGGCTTGGGCTGATTCGTTCTGACTCGACCGAGTCAGCGTTCTGACTCGGACCGAGTCAATACTCGGAAAAAGTCTCTTTTCACAAGGATTAGGGTTTCTAATCTTATATGGAGGTGTTGGACGCCGTCCTAAAAGAAGAACTCGACTTACAGAACCCTAAGACAGATCTAGAACACAAGAAAATCGTTTCTTTTGAGGTTCTAGTTCCCGGGATTCGATCCCAAGTCTTTGAAACCCTATTCACTTCACAGATCCTAGCAGATCAGTTCCAAAAGTGTTTGGAATCCTTCCCGTCGGTGTGGATACGTGTAGAGGAGCTGTATTTTCAGCTCTTGGTGATTAAAACAGGCCCTGGATCGATTGCTACTTTCAGATCTTCAGGAAAGAGGTAAGTATTCGATTCCTACGGTGATATACACGATCTGTCGGGGTTTTACGGATGATTTTGGTTGCGTGTGACGTTTGACTAGGTTTAGATTATCCTTCCGCTGCATGAAACCTAGTAAACCAAACCCTAGATCGATATGATCGCATGCTATGAATCCGTAGCCTAAAAACCCAACAATATATACATATCCGCGTGTAAGTATATGCAGCCACTTTTGAAGCCTGTTTTCAGCCGTGGGAGTTATGCCAGAGTGTTTTTTACTGCGAAGTTTAGTGCAGAGACTAAAAAACCTCTTATTTGTGTGTGATGTGAGCTTTTGGTATTAGACACATAGGCATGTGATGTCGTGGCTTAGTGTGTGTACTGTCCCCATTCTTCACTACTAGGAGAGCCTTGGGCCTTTGGCCCTCGAATAGCTCTGAGTTGGGGAAATGAATGTTACATCTGTCTATACATCAAAACCCTTAAAAATAGTTTTTGTGATCGGACTGTTGCTGGGTCGGATAACTTAGGAGGAAGACTAGATTGAACGACTGATAAAAACAGGCAAATTATATAGGAACATAGAAGTGAAAAACAGATAGAAACAGTTGTAAATAAATAAAATGCATACGATATGATATTCTTTTAGCCGAATTTAAAATAAGGGTCGATGTAATTATTTTTTTTAATGTTTTGCAATGACTTTTTTTTTTATGATTTATCAAACCCTCAAGCATATTCTCAAATTTTCAGTATATTTGATTTAAATGATTAGGTATTGTTGTTATTTAAAAAAAAATAGAACGGGTTACAAAACATTTTTTTTTTCCAAAAGATTATGTTGGAAACCTATTAATTATACAATAAAATTATTTAAGCATTTAAAAATTATTATTTTCAAAATTATTTTGGGTAATTTGGTACCGAAATTAAGATGGAAAAAACAACACAAATATTGTTGATATAAAAAAAAAATGAGTTTAAAATACGTCACGCGGTCGTAGGCTTTTGTTTCTAGTTCTACGTGTAATACAGCGAACTCTGGGAGAAAGAATACATCGTTTTCCGGATTTGATTACTTTTAATTTTATCCAAATTTCAGTACAGAAACATTGTTTTTAGATTTTTTATTTTCAAGTTTAATACATTTAACTTCAAAAGCATAACGAATCTATCGCTTCAAAATGGTATTTGGTTCAGTTATACCATATTATATTATTAATAATACATATGTATATACATGTCCGACTCGGTAATCAACTTGTAAATGCAGAAACCAGAGACAGCAAATAACATTAGGCGGATATGGATAAGTATTGGTAAAAATGAGCTCAACTCAGAGATCAATGCTTGAAATGAGCAGAGGCAACAACAACAATCTGCCCCTTCCAAAAGAAAAGTAAAATGCCGATACAGAAGAACTCAGTCCATGATGACCCAATAAGGTCTGTGGTTTATTTTATTGGTGAAAGAATCGAACCCTAGTTAAGCAGTGGCTTCCTTCAAATAAGCAATGAGATCGGCTCGTTCTTGTGGCTTCTTCAGTCCAGGGAACACCATCTTCGTCCCGGGGATGTACTGCACAAAATGAAGATGAATGATCAGATCAGCACCGTCCGGGAATGTTCCATGAGTTGCAAGAGACGAATTAGCAGAACCAAGCCAATGCAACAAACAGAGAATTTAGATCTCCATCATATTCGGATGGATTGAGAAATGTCAGATAAAAGAAACTTTCAAATGAGATTCGTCAATGATGCAATTTCCTTAGCTAATCTATTCTCTTGTTCCAGACCAATCTGAATAGCCTTGACACACTCGGATCGACTTGATTGCTCTTACGTCCAACTTGTCGGCAAGTGTCAGAGCAAACACAACCAATATCTTGGAATGCGTGAAGGTTAAAGAAACAGCGGAGAAGATCTATAACCACTATTTATTTCATGATGAACTGAGTTTTTCCTATGAAAAGAAGTCTAGCAGCCAAACATTCTCACCCATGAACTATCTTTGTGTAAGCAATCAATGGCCTAAGAAAAAAGACTCTCTTCATTCCGCGGAAAAACACCACACGGCTAGGAGAATCATCTCTGCTTGGATTCCAGAAAGGGAAAAGAAAATACCTTCTTGGGGTTCAACAGGTAATCGTACAGAGTCTTCTCCTCCCACATCACGGCCATGTTCTTGTTAGCTGCAGAGTATGAGTATCCAGGAGTTGTTCCAGATTGCCTTCCGAACAAACCGTTCAAGTTCGGTCCTGTGCGTGTAATGAGATTTCAGTCCATAGCCACATCAGAAATCTGAATCAAGCTTCGAGGAAACCCAGAAAATGCGCATACAACAACGAAAAACTCGAAAAAGCGATAAATCTACATCAATATCAGCGAACAATCACATAAAACCTAAAGCACAAAATTCGAAATCTCGTTCGCATAACAAAGTTTCGTCGATAAAACAGAAAACACAGATGCGTAAAATCCACACCGGAGACTACAACAATAATCATGAATCGAGGAGACAGAAAGCTCAGATCCAGACAAAATCAATCTCGAAACAGACGAAGAAGACGGAGAGGGAGAGAGGACCGACCTTGCTTGTGACCGGCACCTTTCTCGACAGTGTGGCACTGCGCACATTTGGTTCTGAAGATCTTCTCTCCGGCCTTGGGGTTACCAGGCGGTGCTTCGTCGAACGACGCCATTTTTCTTCCTCTGCGAAAGATCAAACGAGAGAGAGAGAGAGAGAGAGAGAGAGAGAGAGTTTGGGGAAATGCGTTGGGAATTAGAAGGGGTTGTTTCTGGTGACGACACAGAAGAAGGTTCCAGAGAAAACAGTTTTCGACGACCACGTGTCGCTTTTTTATTGGATAATTCCTGGTCGGTTGACTATTTGATTCGCTTTTTCATTTTTGTTCACTTTTTCCTCGCGATTTTCTAATGGGCTTCTTGATGGGCTCGACGGGTCAAATTCGTCCGCTCTGGCCCACACTTGCTTTCTTCAATAATTCAGAAAAAGCGGCATACATACATGCATGCATGCATGCATACTATTGTTTTCTGGTCGGGTTTTTTTCTTCTTCTATATTTGCCAATTAATTTGTTTAGTTTTTTTTGTGAAATTAATTTGTTTAGTTGTTTTGGATAGTATGCTCTGTTGAATTTTAGGTTTCTAACCATCTATAAATAGAAAAAGGAAATTCATAAGCGTAAATCTGCAATACAAATATCACAATTTTCATTTTACCCAAAAAAAAAATCACAATTTTCACTGGCTTTTTATTTATTTATTCCGAGCTATTGTTTAATACAATACTGTTACAGATATGTAATTGTTATCATTCATAATTATAACATTATGCATTTAGAATACATGATTATATTATATGACCAAATCAATCAATCTCGTTTAGGGTTTTGAAACAACCATGTATAATGTGAAAGTTTTGTGGAGGAAAAGGGCTAAGCAAGAGAAGGTTCAGTGAGGCATCATGGTCCACTAGGATTCCGAATTAGCCATGTCATCAACAAGAGAATATATATATATATATATATATATATATATAAAAGAGATACAGTATATGCTCATGTAGGAATAAATGATAAGTTTGGTGAATGTTCAACACAAGCAAGAATATTCTGCCTTTGACCTATTCGTTTATACGTGCCTCCCATCCATGTCAAGTTCCTTAGGTTATCGTTTTTGTAATTTCCTGTTAGAAAAAAAAAACAAAATAACCGCATATCAGATTCTTAGTTTTCTTAATCATGAAACGCAGACGCTCTAGCTTTTGTACACGAGCGATACCATGCGTCTGCGATTGAATATTAGAACATCCAAACATGTCGCGGCTGCGTTTGGACAACTGCCGAAACCCGAGTTCTGCATTTGGTTGGAGTCTCTTTTTGCGTTTGCGTTTAGCCGCGTTTCAGGTGTAAAACAATGGCGTTTTGCTTCTCAAGTTCGTTGACTTTTTGGGAGATGATGATAAGGCTAAGAGCAGATCGATCGATGTCGATGTCAAAATGAATCATGTGTTTACGAGTTCAAACACTGGAGAGTGTCTCTTGGTCCGTACCAAAAACGTATCGGACATGGTTGACGAACTACAAAGCGATACGAGAAGGCAAATCTTCGAATCTCCGCGTCCGTACAGCTTAAGAAATTAATTAAAGAAATCGATAGAAAGGATTCTATCTCGTCATCGTCCACAAACTAACTTCTTAATCCCCTTTTATATACAATTGGATGTATATTATATTACACGTATTATATCATTTCAAAGGACATAAACAAAACTATTTGGCTGCAAAGTCAGAAAACCAATATCTTATAAATTTATTTTTAAAGGGTATGAATTGTGTATTCGACAAAAATCGAGAATATTTGAATTTATATATGAAAATCAATATTTGAACTCGAATTTAGAAAGTAAATTAAAATATTTTCATGATTTTAATAATTATTGAATATATTTCGTAATTAAAAGCTAAGAATAGTTTTGCATTATTTAAAAAAGATCATTTCATTATTATTTTTAATAATCTTGATATTTTTGTAACTTTTCATACACCCTAAAATATCGAATTTTGTCTACTCTAATACAACTTATGAATGGTGAGATATAAAAAATCATAAAATTTTGTTACATGTATGTCTGATTTTTTTTCAATATCTTATATATGTATATTTTGTATTACACACATAAAATTGTTAATATGGTCATATTTTAAACAAATAATGAAAAAGGTTCGCACAACTTGTTGCGCATAGATGTGGAGTTTGTTGGAGTATTTAACAAGCCGAAAAAGTCATGGGACTTTGGGAAATGGCAATATGATGTAAATAATAATGCAATGATAGAGAGGAAAAAAAAATGAAAAATGAAAATAAATATGCAATGGCTGAAGTCAGATCTTCAGCAAAACGACGCCGCATTGTTATCTGCATAACGTTTGCTCCCCCCTCTCACGCTCTTAGCTCAACATCATCAAACACAACACACACACACGCATATATATATATATATATATATACACAAACATCATATGATGAATAGTACACACGTAATTAAATACTATATAAAACATATATTCATTGTTTCTCAATGTAAATGTAAATGTAAATCCTTTCTTATTTGCATTTTTTTATATACTTCGAGTCCTCTCCCCTTTAAAATTTGGAAGGAGTGAACGAATGAAACAAACACATGCCGTTTACAGAAAGCTGAATGCTTCACCTGAAACTCTTGCCACCTCTCTCCTCTTTCTTCTTCTCTCGTCGTGATTCCTACAAATATCGCGAATAATTTGCATCAAAATCCGATCTTGGCGATCTGGGTTTCTCAAATCTCATCTGGGTTCTTCAGTTCTCGAACTAAATTCGTTTCTCAATTAATAATCGAATAAATAAAGACACTGAGACCGGTTTGTGTTGGGATCTGTCGGCTCTGAGGCATTGCGATTACTACTGGGTCATGTCTTACAGTAACCCAAACCCAAATCCAGAGGCCTTCTACGGTTCACCGACAGCCACCACGAACTCTCCGGAGACGGTGCCGGAGCTTAAACTGTACCAAGCTTTCATCTTCTCAGTGCCCATCTGTTTCACATTCATTATCCTCTTCTTGTTTTACTTGATCTACCTTCGCCGCCACAGCGTCGATTGGTCTTCTCTCGGAGTTCGAAGCAGTTTCATCACCACCAATAACACTCTCTCCGTGGTTTGTCTCTCTTGTCCTTTAATTCTCTATCGTTTTTTACGGGTTTTGTCTGGGATTACACTCACATGTTCTTTTTTACCTTGATTTATGTCCTTCTTTTCGACGTTTCTAATGGGTTTGTTCTGTGATGATTCCTGGGTTTGAAATCCGAGCAGGCTGAATTAGGGCTGAGCAAAGAAGTGAGAGGGATGCTCCCCATTGTCGTCTACAAGGAGAGCTTCTCCGTCACGGATTCACAGTGAGTTTCCAGATTCTTTTCCTTTGGAAAAAAAATCAATCTTTTAACTGTCTTGTATATCTAATAAGATATCCCAAGGGTTTATCTCCAGAAGAACAAAGGACAGTGAGAATGTCGAAACAGTTGTGTGACTGTTTGAAACATCTTAGAATTCAGTGGCACAATTAGGTTTTGTGGATCATATGATATGATTCATAATTGGGGACATTTTAGAGGAATCAATCTCACTGCTTTAGCTTTCTGATACTCCCTACTTGCATAGAGCCACACTCAGTATCATACATAATTTCTCATGTGATTTACAGGTGCTCGGTTTGCTTGGGGGATTACCAAGCGGAAGACAAGCTTCAACAAATCCCAGCATGTGGGCACACATTCCACATGGACTGTATTGACCAGTGGCTCACAACGCACACCACTTGCCCTCTCTGCCGTCTCTCTCTTGTCCCCAAGTCCAGCCCGAGCCAGCCCCATCACAGCCAAGACCCTTCTTCTCTCTCGGAGATCACTGATGAAGCATCTGCTCGGCCAGAGCCCTGGTCTACTGAACAACCCGTAAACCAGAGCAGTGACGGCCAAGAACAGCCGAGGGATCTGAATGAGTGTAGCCACAAGGAAAAGGATGAACGAACCACAGTAGGCGCTTCGGATGCTTGTGATGATCCCAGACCTGGTTAAAAGGCTTTTTAGCCTCCTGGATCTCCCTGTAAAGTGTTTGCTACTTTCTTCTTGTTTGTAACATTAATAGGAGTGAAAAGAGAGCGTGATATCAGATGAAGGAAAAATGGTAACTTGAATAAGAACTGCGTGTTCTTCATCATCTTCTAGGTGTTTGGGATCAACCCATTTAATGTGCGGATTCATCGAAACTCGCCGCAGAAAAACCGGCCTGACGGGTTTCATCCCAAGGGGTTTATCTTGTTTCATCATCCTTGGTTCAGAAGAGATACAATAACATGGATTTACACAATTGAGCTTACGTTATAGGAGGATAGTTAAGAGTGGTGGAACAATGACAAACGCATAAAAGTTGAAGTGGTTGAGGCTGACGTGATAGTTTGAAGTTCAGAGAAGGACGTTTAACCAAATGAGGGAACCTAAGTGGTTGATCTTCAGACAGACCCATCTCTCTGTTTCACTGGGCTTTGTTTTGTTCTCGATTTCGGTTTACTTGATTCTGACTTTTCCTTCAGGATCAAGTTTCTTTCGTTTTCTTCACACATAGGGATCCAAAGTTGATTCCTTTGCTCATGCCCAGAACCCTAAACAGGCGTGAGGGAGTTCATCCCAGATCTCGAGTACGTCGCCGAGGTATTTTGTTGGTACTTTATTCTTGTCTTTTGACTTATTCGCTGGCAAGTTCATCATCGCGATTGCTCGGCTTGTCATTGCCCTAATCCAAGACTTTACCACTTTCCCCTTTTGCCCTAACGACTGCCTAGGATCTCCAAAATCCAACCTCTGGTTCGTTGTCCGAGCTTGTTTTCCTGTCGTGGGTTCAATCCAGAACAGAGTTCATTACAGACAATCGGATCCTGTATTCCCACAACGTCGGAGACACCAGCACCAAGAATCTCGCCGCCTTGTGCTTGGAACTCCGACTTTCCACAAATGGTACTTGGGAACCATATGTAAGAGGACTTTTGGGTTCTTGATGGAAGATGGGTCCGTGTGTTTCGCCATTGTTGATCAGGGGTTAGGGAGATCTTGCGTTCTCAAGTTTCTCGAGCATCTGAGCGATGAATTCAAGAAATCTGCTACGAGAAATACCCGAGAAAGTTTCTCTGGGCTGATCGGTTCAGTCATTGCTGAGTCTAGCAACGATTTGAAGGCTAATCTGGCATGTTTTTCCTCTTCATCAATGGATACTGAGTCCAATGAACACACCAAACCGCTAATTCCGCGAGATTCCAGCTTCTGGGCAGGTAAGCAGGCAAGAGAAGAAGAAAGGGAAAGATCATATGATTTCATCGAAGGGCACTGAGCTATAGGAAACATTACTGGGGGCTATGGTACTCATTCTGCAGCAGCAATCGTTGCAGAAGGACTGTGTTCCGGAAAAGGGAAGAACTGGATCTCACAGCAGCATTGAAGGGAAGTGCAGATTGTTGTAGCCATTTGGTTTACGCTGCTCGGGGATTGGCTCGCTATTTGTCAGGGCATTGAGGGCACGCGTTCTTGATCGGTTTCACCCTCACGCCTCTTCTCCCGGTTTCTGGTTTTGCCGACAAATTCTGCTGCCTCGAGGTTATGTACCTTAGCTTGTGTATGATTCGGTGATCTTGTCACTTTGGCTCGATTTCGTTTTACTCCACAGATGTTGCGTAATGGAAATTCATAGCGAGCTGTCTTGTGTAAGTGCACATGGTTCGTAAGTTTACACCAAGAAGTGCGAAGGCAAGAACAGTGAATGGTTCCATGATTCACTCACACAAAGTCCTCAAGGCTAAAAATGACACTATTTAAAGGGCATGTAACCATTCATTGTTAATTTGAGGACTAAACAAAACACCCTTCCACTTTTATATAAGAGGAGGCATCCTTATGATTCTTTTAGATAAACATGAGTGATGGTTACCAGATTCTTGAGAATCTGCAAGTCTGATGATACTTCAGCTTCTTCTTCTGACGACACTTCACTTCCTCCCCCCCCTTTTGGAGCACGCCTGAGTGATGGATGAAACGATGAGTCTTGGTACGGGCTTTTTTTTTTTTGTCTTTTTGGAATGGTTAATAAAAAAAAAACAGTGGGGTTGATGCAAGTGAGATATTTTGTGACCATCACCTGCTTCTTGTCTGTTTATTTCAAACATATCATTAGTGTTTTTTTCTTCTTCTTCCGAATCGCTAAATCTATTTCCTTCTTCTCTCCATCTAGAATTCAATTAAAATTACTCTTCCTCAATTTTTCCCATAGATTTTTATAGGATTCCCAAGTTTAAGTTATCAATGGCTTTATATTATTTATTACTTAAAAAAACCCAAAAAATATTTATAAATATCTTTTAAATGATAAATTGATAATATATAATTGGGATTTGAGATTTTAAATGTATTAATTTCTAATTATTTATAATATAGATATCTATTAAAAAAAATTAACTGCTTCCAGTTTTAAATAACTTTTAATATTTATGAAAAATCCAAAAATTATTTTATCTGTTATTTCATTATTTTCAATTATAAATTTTCAAATATATATTTATAGTAATAATATTTGTTATTATCAATATATTTAAAATTAATAACAACTGTAAAATATGTTTTAATGTTTTATTAGTTTTATTGGTAACTTAAATTTTGAATAGCTATCTTTTAAAATATTTTTTTTGTAGTTTGTATTATTGTTGTTGTTGTTGTTGACGGATTTTGGTGGAAATAAACTGAGTTTGGATTAAGAGCGGAGCGGAGCGGAGCGGAGCGCAGCAACTACGAGATAATATGGAATCAGTCATAAATATAAAAACCGTGTAATATGGAAAAAAGGAAAAGGCGTGGAGCAAAAGAAAGCGAACCGCCTCGAATCTGCAAAAACAGTGGGACCCACTCCTTAAAAAAATAGTAAAGCATCGCTCTCGCTCTCCTTGCTGCAGACGTTCAAGCTTTCGGTCAAATTCCAAAAACCCTAATCCCCCCATCGTCTCCGCCGAAACTCAAACCTAAAACCCCTTCATCCCCTTCTTCTTCTAGTGTAAAAGTTAAGGTTAAAGAGCTGGTATGGTCATGGCGGTGATCAACGGCGGTCGGGTAGCGAAGAGGGCGAGGCGGAGCAACCGGGTCTCCGCCGATCTCTACGATTTCTTCACTTTTCCGGCGGCGGCGGATGGCAGAGGAGGGTCGCCGCTGCCACCGTTCCGGGACGGGGTGAGATCTTTCCTCTCGAGCTACGCGCGGGTTGCGTTCCCACCGTCGACGCTCT